AGTCTCACAAGGCGGGATCGTGAATGCGCACTGCTGAGGAGTCCGATACTAGGACGTAACGGCCGTCCAGTGTTTCCAGGTTTCCCATGATGGTTTAGTTTCAATTAACTCATGAATTCAACCATTAAATTACTACAATATCCACAAAAATCTCTATCTGATTTATTATATGTAAAATATTGCTCTATATTTAGATCAAGAACAACATTGATATGTACAGAATAATTTTATAATAAATATCATTATTGTTAACATAAAATAAATAATCAATATTAAATTGGAAATCAATCTATCGGCCGATCAATAAATCAATAAATGAATGGATAAATATCACAAGAATTATTTTTAGATTTAAACAGGAAAAAAATCTAGAATTCACTGATTATTCATAAGTCAATCAGTAGTAATGCTCAAGATTATAAGATTTTTTATGTATTATTATTATTAACTCCGCCTGAAGCCCCTTTGAGGCCACCTCCCGTCCCAAGGAGAAGGGTTAGGCATGAGGTTAGCGACCCCATCCCGTAATAAACGACCTCGCTAAAAAACGCTAACCAGAAAAATAATTCAAGTAATTATTATTATTACACAGGGAATAATAACCACTGTTGGGTTTATTTATCCCTGGTTACAAATCAAATTATAGTATGGTTGTCAATTGCATAGTTGACTTAATACTGTGAAAGATTGAGTCTGTTCAATAACTATGCCAGCTGAACTTCTAAGATTGTAAATTAAGGGAAATTCACGAAGAAGGCAGTTCAAACTTCCCAGACTATAAGGATGATGTAAGTTCAGTACAACCGTCAACCTACTCTGTTGACGAAAACACTGAATGAGTGCTACCTTTTGTGCTCTTCGATTGTATATACTGTCTGGATGACATTTGTTGAAAACGGGAGCAATCGTATTCTTACAGGTGAGATGTACCCTACATTTTGAGAAATTAAATTTTTAGAAACTTATTAAGTGATTCGCTTGGTATTGTTTTACTTGAATCTTCCCATTGATGTTTAGGACTAACATTGCTCAGTCTCTTATTGACATAAGTGCATAATATGCGTATTGCCTCGATATTGCCTTAATTTACAAGCATTATAAGCAGAGATGGATAGTGGTTAGCAGTGGAATCCAGTTTGACGCACGTTTCGTCTTACTTGGGACTCGCCAACTGGATATACCTGCATCTTAGAGAGTTGATGTTCACTCTGGGGCTCGAACCCAGTACTGTTCGCTTCAAGCGCCATCTCGTTACCCACTTAGCTACTGAGTCCTGATGGCCATCCGCTTGTGCAATGGGGTGAAGTTTAACTGACTTGGTAAACATCAACTCTGAGATGCAGGTACATCCGGCTGACGAGTCCCAAATAGGACGAAACGCGCGTCCTGGATTCCACTGCTAGCCACTATCCATCTCAAATTATTGAGTGTATTAATTGAATGAGCAGCATATATTTTTTGAGATTAGACGATTGAAAGGAATCGGTATAATTTATACACCTTACCAAACTTATTGGATTATCGATCTGGTTTACAACTGATTGATTTAGCCCATCAGCGTGTGACCGATACAATTGATCAATTTTAAATATTTAATCAGTTGTATGTTGACCAAATAGAGTTCTACTCCCAAATACTCTGGTACGGCTGAGAGTGGGGAGAGTCAGTTCTCCCTCTCCAAATCCTCTCACATGGCCATATGCATACAACCACTGCCAGAGAAGTCCTACCCACTTCCTTCTCGCGGCACAGGTGTTATTTATGAAGTTGATAAGACGAAAAGCGAATGTTCGGCGCCTTAACCGGGTTGGTGGACACGGAGAGTCCACTCAGGGAAGTTGGAAAACCTTGATTACAAGCCAATGGTGCACATCGGCTTCAGGATCCTAAGGGAACAAATGGCGTATGAACCAATCGTTGGTCACCGACTACCATGGGACTGCATCTTCTGACGCTATTCCACTGCCTTTTGGACCAGACCTTTAGGTTGAAGGCTCCAGGTGTGGTCCCCTAAGAAAATCACCAGTTTCGGTTTGGGCACCTGAGCAGTATCCTAACCCTCCAAAAATGGAATGATTTGTGTAGTGCATATCTGTTTGATGCATCTTTGTAGCAATGTTTATCTGTTTAAATAAATAAGAGTTTTACCATAGTTTTCTCGTTAACTTCGATTTACCTTATTTCGGTTTGACCGTCGTTATACAACTCTTTTCAATGAACGATTTAAACTTGGTCATATTTCCTAGTAGGAAGTACCATGGCTTGTCAAGTTATTCGTTCTTTGTTTTAATCACATTTTGAGATCTCGCTGAAAAACAGAAAGCACTAGACACCCAGTTTTCTTCCGGTAGCATATACCTTATAACTCTTCCATTAGTCAAGTGAAGAACCGCTTAACCATTATACTAGTAGGTTGGTATTCCATATTACACAATATATTTGTGCAGTATTCTCTGGTTTTCAACGATATCTTAACTAAGGTCAGTTCTTAGCTAATACCATTTATAGGCTAAACATATTTCAGATAAAAAAGCGTAGTTAGCCCTCCCCCCGAAAAAAGTTATTATATAATTAATAGGTGAATCGAAAACATTCAACGGTTAAACAAAAGTTACATACAAAAATAGTACTGTGATCTATTAAGGTGAAAATTGATTGTTCATGAAAAAATGTAAAAGATAGTTGGTTTTTTTCATTGGTAACTATGCAAAAGACAAATAAAGGACAAAAGTACCATTAGAAAAATGTTAGGATTATAGAAGAGTGACGAAGTGGAAATGTCAATTTTGTTACCAAAGTATTTACTATACACAGACCTCGTGTTGTCAGCCCTTCTGATTGAATTAGTAAATAATTTTAAAAAGTTGTTTATGTGGCTACATAACGATTAAATATGTGGTTTCCTTTCATCTTATCGATTTCTACCCTGGACTCAATTTCCTAAGCTATTTTAATAACCCCTAGGCTAAATATACACGATAACTTGAACACGAGAGAAAAGACACGAAGTGTGAAAAGAACGCTTTACTCCAAAGTTAGTTTATGTACAGAAAGTCGAGGGTATTTATAGTAATTCAGATGGTCTTAGGTATCTGGAAGGTTCTGTGACCAAATGAAACATAGTATCAGGATAGTTAATCATTCATTTAGAAATGTGACACGAGACTCTTCACTTTCCAGATGTTTCTGAGAGCCTTCTATTCAGCGCTGATTGAACAAAATGTTCCCTAGCGTCTTCAGGACCCCTCTAGTCTTTTTCAAGGAATACATTCGATCTCTCCAACATATTCTTGATCGTGAGTTGTGTGTTTGACATAAAGTGATTTGGTCTGTTTGTAGCGGATCCTCAGAGTATTCAATCTAGAGGTGTTATAAACTCGGTCATTTAGACCAGTCTCATTATTGTATTAGCGTACCGCATAGAGAGTAAGATATTTAATTCATCCGTTATATCAGCTATGTATTTTCTAGAAGCAGCTATTAGAACAATGCAAGAAACAAATTGTGATAATTGAATTTCCGAAATCTTACATAGATTTTGCAAAGTATAGTGCTGCCAGATTATAACCTTGTCTACTTGTGAATATCAAACACTTACTACTAAAAAATCCATATAAATAAAGTTTTTATGAGCAAATGTTTATGTTGCATCTATATATAGATTTCTCTTTTGATAATGACTGTCACTTCATTTGTATTATAAAAATCTATTTATTTCTAAAATTACAGAGATATACCATGAATTCAAACTTAACAGTACGAGGATAAAGTATGACATTGACTGTCAACGTAGATGACATTTATTTATTGGAACACATAAATATTGGTACAAAGGGGGCACCAGATACATATGTGCCACACAATAATAATGAGAATGGGACGAAATAAAGAATGTAAGGTGCGTATAAGAAAAAAAAGGGAATAGTACCGATCACAAATTAGTGTATGATAGTGAAATAATAATAATAATGGGAGAAACAGAAAGAATTCTTTCAGTTCAAGAAGTTACGGTCACTTTTTTATGAAGAAAATAAGAGAAAGTTACAGCAGAATCGCCACTGGCTTCTATTCCAAGCCATGTCACATAACGTCCCTGATCACACCATCTCTAGGACCCCAATCAGGGAGTCGTGAAAGACCAACAGAAGCTAGTCTTGTGCACCTTTCTTTCATACTACGATACCATGTCATACACTGATCATCTCTCCGTTATTTCCAACCAGTCTCAAAGTCGGTAAATAATTCATGATGAGGAATGTAGATGACACAACAACAAAAAAGATCCAAGAATAATTCATATCATTGAATCATATTAAAATTGTTTTTTCATCTGAAATATTCCTATACAAACTAAGAGAATGAATGTTGGCTCAGTGGTCTAGTTGGTTAAGCGCCTGGTGCGAGACTGATAGGTCCTGGGTTCGAGTCACTTAGGCGAGGTCGCGGATGCTCACTTCTGAGGGGTCGCACAATAGGACGAAACGGCCATCCAGTGCTTCCAGGTTTTCCATGGTGGCCTAGCTTCAATTAATTCATGATTTCAACTCGTGAAATTCCCAAAAAAATCTCCACAAAAACCCATTCTGATAATAAGAGAATGAATGTTTGATTGAAGAAATATTTCCGTCTATTTATTTATTTATGAAAGAACATCAGACAAACAACAACAATAGTGCATTATAATAAATCACGTGTCTAGTTAAATTACATCAGCCTTTTTTTGAATGTGTGTGTGTCTGTCTATCCACTTAATCGTCTATTGCCTAACCCTTATCCTACTGTCCCCTTATGTATATATATATATATATATATATATATATATATATATAAGACGGACAGATATCATTTTTCATTCAGATATGAAGTCATGTGACTTTGAAAACTGAAACCCTATTGGTTAATGAATGATATCAGCTTCAGGTCAATAATTTTTTTCCACCAATAGGAATGTAGTAAATTGTATATTACATTTATAAAGATATGGTGACTAAAAATTTTTTAAAAAAAAGAAGAAAGTTGAAAGGAAAATTTAATTTATTTCTACTGATCTACTTACTTACTACTGATCATAAGGATAATTGACAGTAATATATATAGCTCAAGTAATTTGTTTTGTAAGTTAATAACATATCTATATATGCTTGGTATTATTTGGCTTGTATCTTCCCATTGAGGTTTATTAAGACTGCAATTGATCAGTGTGTTATTGACATATGTGCATATACTCTGTGTATGCCTCGATATTGCCTTAATTCACAAGCTTTTGTTTGTAAGCAATGATGGATAGTGGCTAACAGTGGAATCCAGTTTGACGTGCGTTTCGTCCTATTTGGGACTCGTCAGCTGGATGTACCTGCATCTTAGAGAGTTGATGTTCACTCTGGGACTCGAACCTAGTATCATTCGTTTAAAACGCCATCTCGTTATCCACTTAGCTACTGAGTCCTGATAGCCACTTGCTTGTGCAATGGGTTAGATTTCAATTCACTTGGTATTATTTAACTTGGATCTTCCCATTGAGGTTTAAGACTGTGTATATATAATATATATGTATATATAATTGTTAGTTCATATAATGATCAAAAAAAGGATAATGTTTTTACGGTATGATAAATTTATTCATTTTTGTTTATTTAATGTGTATACCTTGCTGATGAGTGTTAAATAGCACGAAACCCCCGAATCTAGGGTTTCCTGTTGACTACAACCAACCACTATCTTATTTCAACATAGTGCATGCAATATCAAATCATCTAGACTAGTGGTGACATTGCAATTCGGTCTATAGCATTCGATTTGCACTAAGAAGGAATTGATACATATGATATTGATCAATTGTGTATATTAACATTGTTGGATGCCGGCCAGCTCAGTAATCTACTGGTTAAGCGTTATCGCGCGAGACTGTTAGGTCCTGGGTTCGAGTCTCACGGGACAGGATCGTGGATACTCAGTGCCCTAAGGAGGGGTCCCATACTAGGAAGAAACAGCTATCCAGTGTTTCCAAGTTGTCCATGATGGTCTACCTTTAATTGACTCATGAATTCAACTATTTAATTACTATAATATCCATAAAATTCCTCTCAGATTACAATGCGTGTATCTCCATAGGATTTTTGATAAGCATAACAATGTTTGTAAAGGATCTAAATATTCACCAATTTCTGGACTAATATACCATTTGGGGGCGTCTGGGTCTTGTTAATATGCTCCTAAAGAATAAAATACACGCTTTTATGTTATCTGACACCTTTTGTAATGAATTTGATTAGCTCCTAAAACTTTAAATTCCTTATTAAGACCTATTATAAACTGGATTAAGGTCTCACCCATCTATATAATCTTGTCTAGTGTTATGAGCGATATATTTTTCCCCTCATTTGTTTTTTACTATATTGGAATTTCCATTATATTGAAATCATAGTTATAGTATCTAACTGAATCAGAAAGTCTGAAAATTTTTATTAATCTGTGTCGTATTTTCCAAATTGTTATATTGTCACAACAGTGCCAAACCAAAATGTGGCATCAGTGCCTGAGGACACTAACTTCTAGTCTGAGCCATGTTGGTAGATGTAGACTATTTGGTTGGGATCAGCGTGACGATCGTAACCAATGGTTGGAGACTCTTGGTGACATGACTCAGAATCAATCACAATGGCGTAGGTGTAAACACTCTCTGTCTTCCCTTAAACTATGAGATTAAAATCGCTTCACATCTTTCTGCCAACTAATTCTTTCTTTCTGTACTATGTTCTTATATGCAATCTTTCTTTTATATATTACCACCACTGAATTAACTACTTCTATGAATTTGTTGTTCATCTTGCTGTGCTAATGATGTGTGGCAACTTGGACCGATGCATATATGTGCTTGGCCCTACGTTGTAACTGACTGACTGGTTGAGAAAAGATGAATAGATTTATGAATGATGAATGAAACCTTTTTACACTTTGTAATATTATCTATTTCTTTTCCACAAACTATCCATTAACAAAGTTGTTTTACTTTTTCTGATTGACTATGAATTGGTTGAAAATTCATTGTGTCTGTTTTAGGTTTATCCTTGTACTTATACTCTCACCTCAGTTTATTTATTTATTTATTTAAACACATAAACATTAGTACAATGAGGCACCAAATAGATATGCGACACATAAATCATTTGATTTGTGTGAGGGCTTGAATACTGCCCAGGTTCCCAAGCTGAAACAGGTGGTTTTCTCAGGGGGCCACACCTGGAGCCTTCGACCAAAAGGTATGATCCCCAAGGCAGCAACGTCAGAAGATGCATCCCCATGGTGACCGGTGGCCGACAACAGGTTCATACGCCTTTTGTCTCCTTAGGATTCTGGAGACCATGTGCACGATTGGTTTGGAATCAGGGTTTCCCAATTCCCCCAGGTGCTCTCTATGTCCACCAACCCGGTTAAAGCGCCGGACATTCGCTTTTCGTCCTGTCGATTTCGTTAACATCAATAATGCCGAGAGAACGTAGTGAGTAAGACTTCCCTCACCTCAGTTATTAAAATAGAAATCTTAGTAATGTCATTTCTAGTAGAAAATATCACAAAACAATTCAAGTCAATGATCTATCTTGTTTACTGATTCCGATGCTTCATTTTTTTTCTTTTTTTTTGGTGCGTATTTAAAAATAAAATTTGTTGCCACGTGACTAGTTAACATAATTTTATTGTCGTCATTTAAAATTTTCAGTTATTAACCGTATATCAGTATAGGGGTTGTGGAGATTGTTAAGTTTTTGATTGAGATCATGAATCAATTGGTGTTAGACCTACGTTGAAAACCGTATAATTTATAATAATGACGAAACTAAAAGATAATGATAATAATTTGACTGTAAAATTGGAATCATATACAAAATTAAAAATGACAGATTTGTACCTGTGCTCACTAGCTGTTTAAAAGTGTATTTAATGTTCTTCTAATCAACTATCAGTTAATCAATATTTTGATAGACTGAATTCATTCTAAATATTGTTGAAGACATTCAGCGTACATCTTACGAGCAATTCCTTTAGACTATCCTCAGGCAAGACAATGTTGATATTTTTTATATTTGCTTGCCTGAGAATAGTCTGAAGGAACTGCTTTTAAGATGTACGCTGAATGTCCATTTTGTCTTTGTATGTATGTATCTATGCACAAGAAAATTTTGAGCTGTAGCCTACACACTTGTACACTAGTGGTTTGATGAACATCAAGTTGAAACTTGAACCATTTGTTATATATTAATGCTTGAATAGTTAGATAATAGGTGTGGCTAACCAATAGTTATATAAATCTGCACGTGGTTAGTGGAAAGTATTGTTTTTTTCCCAACATTAATAATATGTTTAGGATAATATATACGTAAGCATTATTTCAGATTAGATGTTTAAACTTTCTTCCATGTTTTATTGAACAGTATGTTGCTAAGATATTCGGGAGTATTGTAATATTTATTCAATTTAAATCAAAAACCTTATTGTATTTTTGTTTTTACTTAGCAACTTACCGGATATCCGGAAATTGTATGAGCAACTTTTTAAATCAATGTTCATGTATACACTTTTTTTTACACATAAAATTATCATCTTTTGAATTAATTTGTTCTGTGCTGATGATAAATAATTAAATAATGAGACAAAGTAAGTGTAGATTCAAACATTAGCGATTGAATGAACACTAGTGTGTGAAGAAGCAAACTTAAGGTTTCTTTCAATCTTGTGAATCAAAGGATGATTTTGAATATGATGGATTACTTATTTTCAGATGACTTACTGAGTGGTAACCAGTCTTACTTACTATGTCGTGTTATCGATAGTTACTGGGATCCGATCGCGTTTTAAAATTTTCATAGTTCTGATTAAGGAATAACGGTACGGCATCAAACTGTTTTGTATTCAAAAGTAAATCTCTTCATTCTTAGAGCATGATTTCATTGATTTTCTGAATATCTGTTACAAGTTCATAGAATTAACAACATGTGATTTTTACTTAATAAATCCATAGCTAGAATGTAACAGATAAAAACAACGCTTTTGTTGTTAAAATTGTTATAGTATGACTTATTGGTTAAGGCATTCAACTTTCAGCCGTTAAGGCCCAGGTCTGAACCCCGTTCCATATAGTTTTGTTTGACCAGCCGGGTAGTATGGTTAGACCTCCACGATTTGTGTGGCACATATTCAAGTACACTTGGTGAATGAATCTATTGATTTTTATTTTAAGATTATATTAGTTTTGGATCCAAGTAATTTCATTATTTATACAGATAGAATTCAAAGGTAACTAACTCTCCATTTATAAGTTGACAAGTATACAAACTAACTTATGTTACAGATCCATAAACTTCAGAAATATTGAGCTGATTGCACCGCTAATCTTTGTGATAATGAATGACTGACTGTTAACTAGTGTTTCTGGTGAATATTATTTGTAAAACAATTTCTTTAAAGTAACATAATTGACGGTTATACTGAATTGTTTCCAATTAGATGATATTTAAGAAAAAAAGAATATAGAAGTCAATTATCTCTTGGATCATATAGTTGTTTTTTAATCATTTGTTTGAATGTTAGCTAGGTCTAACAGTAAAAGGCAGAATTACTAATATTATATGGCTGTATTAATATTTTTGTGTAACCGTAAATATTTTTTTAAACGTATCAAATGACCTAGTATGGTACACTAGTCGATCATTGTTGAATTAATGATAGTTGTTTTTCATCTTTCTTTTATATGAAGTGACATACAAACTCAGTCAGTCAGTTAGCTACAACGTAGGACCAGGCACATATGTGCATCGGTCTTAGTTGTCATACCTCATTAGCACAACAAGATGAACACCGGATTCATAGAAGTAGCTAATTTAGTGGTGATATTAGTGTTGCTACCTTGACGTGGTGGTCAGGCTGGCCTATCGTGATGAACCAATCGAGCTATACTGGTTGCAACAATCGTTCCTCAAGGTCGGTTGAAGCGCGGTAAAACTAAAAGCAGCAAACCCAAGTTCTGAGGGCGAAGTCGTACTGCTGACTGTACAGAGGTGTGACAGCAGTAAGGTGTTTCCTTCAGACAACCAGCATAACAGCGATGCTGCCTTCCCAC